CTTCTCATCCTTCTTCCTCTTCTCATCCTTCTTCTTCATCATTCTCCTTCTTCTCATCCTTCTTCTTCTTCTCATCCTTCTTCTCTTCTCTTCTCCTTCTTTCTCATCCTTCTCCTTCTTCTCATCCTTCTTCTCCTTCTTCATCTTCTTCTCTCCTTCTCCTTCTTCTCATCCTTCTTCTCTCATCCTTTCCTTCTTCTCATCCTTCTCCTTCTTCTTCTTCTCATCCTTCTCCTTCTTCTTCATCCTTCTCTTCTTCTCCTTCTTCTCTTCTTCTCCTTCTTCTCATCCTTCTCCTTCTTCTCATCCTTCTTCTTCTCCTTCTTCTTCCTTTCTCTTCCTCCTTCTTTCTTCTCATCCTTCTCCTTCTCATCTTCTCATCCTTCTCTCCTTCTCTTCATCTTCTCATCATCCTTCTCCTCCTTCTTCTCATCCTTCTCCTTCTTCATCCTTCTCCTTTCCTTCTCATCCTTCTCCTTCTTCTCATCCTATCTTCCTTCTTCTCATCCTTCTCCTTCTTCTCATCCTTCTCCTTCTTCTCATCCTTCTTCTTCATCCTTCTTCTTCATCTTCTCATCCTTCTCCTTCTTCTCATCCTTTCTTCTCATCCTTTCTCCTTCTTCATCCTTCTCCTTCTTCTCATCCTTCTCCTTCTTCTCATCCTTCTCCTTCTTCTCATCCTTCTCCTTTCTTCTTATTCCATCCTTCTCCTTCTTCTCATCCTTCTCTCTTCCTTCTTCCTTCTCATCCTTTCCTTCTCCTCATCCTTCTCCTTCTCATCCTTCTCCTTCTCATCTTCTTCTTCTTCTCATCTCATCCTTCTCCTTCTTCTCATCCTTCTCCTTCTCCTTCTTCTCATCCCTCCTTCTCATCCTTTCTCCTTCTCCTTCTTCTCAAGCCTTCTCCTTCTCTCCTTCTCCTTCCTCATCTCCAAGGGCATTTAAATTAAAGGTACAGTGTTCTGCACTAATTTAAAGGCTCTCTGAAGCCTAGAAACCCTTTTTATAAGTTAACTTCGTAGCGAATTAATTCGCATCAAATCGAATTTCTTCCTGAAATTCGGCGAATCAGCCGAATCGAATTTTTGAATAATTCGCTCATCTCTAATTAACACATTTCTACCCATCATTAGTGGTGAGCTGAACATACCTGGGTTTGATTTGAGCAGGGTTCTGCAAACATTAGATATATTTGGATTACAAATCTGAAACCCATTGAAACCAGTGAAATCATTTTTATGGCTATTAGGCTAAGAATAGTCAAACCTATGACATGGAGGACTGGGTATTGACCTGGGACACTTGTAATAATGTAAAAAACTGTTTAAAATGTAAATTCATCCAGGAGACGTAAATTTTAATAATGAAGATGAAGCATTAAAAATACCCAATTTCATTAAAAAACATTTACAGAAAAAAAATGCTTGTAAATGACAGCTCCCTGCCAGCTTGTTTTTCCTTGCAACAAAGGGCATGGAACACCCACCAAATTACATAAAAGACCCTTGAAAATTATTTTCGGGGACTGGTGGATGGGGCTCGGTAATTCCTTTTTTTAAATAAATTCTCTTATTTATGCAAGATGCAAGAGAAAGGGAAATGTGTACAATGTTTGCAGTGCGTATTACATAAAAGACTACATTGTCTTGAATACACATTTGAACAGACACTCAGATATTTCACAATCATTGAAGTGAACAATAACATAGAATACACATATGAAGACTGTAGCATAAAAACACTCTTTAGTCTCAGAACTTGTTTTTTATTTTTATATAGAGAAGGGTTCAAGTGTAGAAAGAAAGAAAGGGAAATACTGTAGTCTGAGTTGGTGTTAAAAAGGGAGATGACAGTCATGAATAAAAAGATGGAGGAAAAAAAAGGGAGGTGGGAAATAGGAGGGATGTGGGGGAAAGGAAAAATAGAGACCGGAGAGTCTGAGCCTCTTTTGTGGTAAGTGTCAGTTGGGCTCAGCTGAAGAATTTAATTTGGTAGGCCTGGTCATCTTGTGAGGTTTGGAAATCAACTGAATAATACCAGGTATTTCTGAATCTCTCCTCCTGATGGTGAAGTGAGAAGGTTACATCATTATTTTTTATGTGAACCACTTGCCATGTTTACTAGGTAGATCAGTAATGATTTTTTTATATTGTTTCACAGAAAAAAGTTACATGGGACTGGAAGGCTAGGGGGTTGAGATTATGACTTAGGCCCCATTTCATACAAAGGGTCCAATCAGGTTGTCAGGAATGGACTGGCCAGCAATGGGGGAAACTCACCTGCCTTATGGGCTGCAGTACCAGGGCTGGCCAGCGGGTGCTCCCAGCAATCAGAGACTCAACCCTGCAGCCAGCCAAACACCTGAAACTGCTTATGCAGGTGTATTTAAGGGATGGCCAGACCTGCAGACTCTGCCTTGGTGTGTGTGTTTTTCCTGGGCCCCTGTATCTTGTTCCTGCATCCTGTTCCTGTCTTGTTGCTGACCTGCTTGATCTGGACCTCTGCTGACTTTCTCCTGTTCTGATCCCTGGCTTGTGACCCCGACCATTCTCTGCCTGACCCCCCTGTACCTACCTGCCTGTTAGTTGCTGTACCCGGCTCGTGACCTGACTACTCTCTGCCTGCTCCTCCTGCTCCTACCTGCCCGTTTGTTATTGACCCGGCCTGCCTGACGACGCTTGCATTGTATGTATTGTTATCTGTGGGTGGTTTGGTTCGTTTGCACTGTGTTATGTTTTAGTATTGCACTGCGTTTATGTTTGTATTGTTAGTCTTGAATAAATTATATTGTTTATAACTTATCTGAAGCCTGCATTTCCCTGCGTCAGTCACATACCTCTGGTCACACCCCGGAGCCCTGACATTACACCAAGGCCAATCCTGACCAGAAGTGGCTGCACAGGGAAGCCATCTTGGTTTGTTGATGGGAAGGATGGATCTTGATGAGGTTGTGTGTATTTATATCTGCTAGTGTTTGATGACAGAGAATTATGCTTATCAGACTCTGAAGGAGTATCCCCGGGATGAACTGCTAGAATGTATACAGCTCGCTCATGTTCTAGTAGATCAGGGCACAGAGTTCTCTGAGGTGCAGCCATTGATTCAGGTTTGTGCGGAGTTGGTTTCATCTGGTACCCCGAATGCAGGGATGAATTTTTGCCACCATTTAGTGCAGACCAGGTAGAGTCCCTGGTATGGTTATTAGAGGATGATGTGGATTACTTTCTGGAGCGTTATTCTGCATGTTCACCACAGGTATTAAGGGATTGTATAAACGCATTGTGCAGAAGTCTTTGGTCAGACAGGGCTTTGTGTAAGCTCAGCTTTGTTCAACCCATACTGCAGACATGGAAGATTTGTTACACCCAGCCTCAGTCAGCTTACAAAAACCCAGTCCTGCTTCTAATCTATTTCCTCAAAGCTCTCTTCCTGCATTCCCAACAGCACCTCCAGTTACAGCCCAGTATACTTGGCTATCTACCGCATGTCAGTACCCTGTTTCCACTCGCTGCACCTATCCTGCCTTTAACCCTGTAAAGAAGCCCTCTGTAGCAACTGTTCCCTCCCCGGTTCCATCCTCCAGCTCTTCTCTGTCTCCAGCTGCTCCATTCGTTTGCAGACCTACGTTTACTTGCAGTGCTCCAGTAGTTAAAACCAGAAAAAAGCGAAAATTCTTTCCAACCAGTACCATCTTGCCAGACGACTCGGAGCCCGCGGTCTTGCCAGACGACTCGGTGCCCGCAGTCTTGCCAGGACGACTCGGTGCCCCGCAGTCTTGCCAGATGACTCGATGCCCGCTGTTTCCGCCAGTTGACTCGGTGCCCGCAGTCTTGCCAGGTGACTCGGTGCCCGCAGTCTTGCCAGACGACTCAGTGCCCGCAGTCTTGCCAGACGACTCAGTGCCCGCAGTCTTGCCAGACGACTCGGAGCCCGCAGTCTTGCCAGACGACTCGGAGCCCGCGATCTTGCAGATGACTCGGTGCCGCAGTCTTACCAGGTGACTCGATGGGCCCGCTGTTCCGCCAGTTGACTCGGTGCCCGCAGTCTTGCCAGACGAACTCGGTGCCCGCAGTCTTGCCAGACGACTCGAAGCCCGCTGTTCCACCAGTTGACTCGTTGCCCGCAGTCTTGCCAGACGACTCGGTGGCCCGCAGTCTTGCCAGATGACTCGGAGCCCCGCAGTCTTGCCAGACGACTCGGAGCCCGCGATCTTACCAGGTGACTCGATGCCCGCTGTTCCGCCAGTTGACTCGGTGCCCGCAGTCTTGCCAGACGACTCGAAGCCCGCTGTTCCACCAGTTGACTTGGGTGCCCGCAGTCTTGCCAGACGACTCGGAGCCCTGCAGTCAGTGCCAGACGACTCGGAGCCCACGATCTTGCCAGACGACTCGGTGCCCGCAGTCTTGCCAGACGACTCGGTGCCCGCTGTTCCTGCCAGTTGACTCGATGCCCGCTGTTCGCCAGACGATACTCGGTGCCCGCAGTCTTGCCAGATGACTCGGTGCTCGCAGTCTATTACCAGGTGACTCGATGCCCGCTGTTCCCAGTTGACTCAAGTGCCCGCAGTCCCGTTGCTCCAGACGACTCGGTGCCCGCAGTCTTGCCAGACGGACTCGGAGCCCGCAGTCTTGCCAGACGACTCGGAGCCCGCCGGTCTTGCCAGACGACTCGGTGCCCGCGGTCTTACCAGGTGACTCGATGCCCGCTGTTCCGCCAGTTGACTCAGTGCCCGCAGTCTTGCCAGACGACTCGGTGCCCGCAGTCTTGCCAGTTGACTCGGAGCCCACTGTCGTGCCTGGTGACTCTGGTTGCCAGATGACGTGGTGCCCGCTGGCGAGCCAAATGACCTGATGCCTGGTGACCCAGTGCCCGCTGTCATACACTGGTGACCCGATGCCCGCTGTCGAGCCAGACAACCCATGCCTGATGACCCAGTGCCCGCTGGCATGCACTGGTGACCCGATGCCCGCTGTCGGGCCAGACGATCCAATGTCTGACCCAGTTCCCGCGGTCATGCCAATTGACTCAGGAGCCCACTGTCGTGCCTGGTGACTCGGGTGGCCCACTGCCTTGCCAGATGACTTAATCGGTGCCCGCTGTTTTAGTCGAGCCAAATGACCTGATGCCTGGTGACCCGATTGCCCGCTGTCCAGCCAGACGATCCAATGTCTGACCCAGTGGCCGCGGTCATGCCAGTTGACTCGGAGCCCACTATCGTGCCTGGTGACTCGTGCCTGTCACTCCGCCTGGGGGCCCGAGACCTGTCGCTCCGCCTGGAGGTCCGGCGCCCGCCGCTCCGCCTGGGGGCCCGAGACCTGTCGCTCCGCCTGGGGGTCCGGCGCCCGCCGCTCCGCCTGGGGGCCCAAGACCTGTCGCTCTGCCTGGGGGTCCTGCGCCCGCCGCTTTGCCTGGGGCCCCGAGACCTGTTGCTCCAACCTGGGGGCCCGAGACCTGTCGCTTCGCCTGGGGGCCCCGAGACCTGTTGCCACGCCTGGGGGTCTGGCGCCCGCCGCTCCGCCTGGGGGCCCGATGCCTGTTGCACCTCCTGGGGGCCCGGCGCCCGCCCGCTCTGCCTGGGGGCCCAGCGCCCGGCGCCCCGCTCGGGACCCGGCGCCCGCCGTCCGCCTGGGGGCCCGGCGCACGCCGCTCCGCCTGGTGGCCCAGGGCCCGCTGCTCCACCTGGTGATTCGGAGTCCAGGCCCGATGTGCCTCTGCCGGAGTCCAGCCCGATGTGCCTCTGCCCCGGAGGTCCAGCCCGAATGTGCCGCTGCCCGGAATCCTGCCCGATGTGCCGCTGCCCAGAGTCCTGCCCGATGTGCCGCTGCCCGGAGTCCTGCCCGATGTGTCTCTTGCCCGATGTGCCCGTCCTGAGGCCGCTCCTTGAGGGGGGGGGTTACTGTCAGGAATGGACTGGCCCAGCAATGGTGGGACACACCTGCTTATGGGCTGCAGTACCAGGGCTGGCCAGCGGGTGCTCCCAGCAATCAGAGACTCAACCTGCAGCCAGCCAAACACCTGAAACTGCTTATGCAGGTGTATTTAAGGGATGGCCAGACCTGCAGACTCTGCCTTGGTGTGTGTGTTTTTCCTGGGCCTGTATCTTGTTCCTGCATCCTGTTCCTGTTCCTGTCTTGTTGCTGACCCTGCTTGTTCTGGACCTCTGCTGACTTCTCCTGTTTTGTTCTGATCCCTGGCTTGTGACCCCGACCATTCTCTGCCTGACCCCCTGTACCTACCTGCCTGTTAGTTGCTGTACCCGGCTCGTGACCTGATAACTCTCTGCCTGCTCCTCCTGCTCCTACCTGCCCGTTTGTTATTGACCCGGCCTGCCTGACGACGCTTGCATTGTATGATTGTTATCTGTGGGTTGGTTTGGTTCGTTTGCACTGTGTTATGTTTTAGTATTGCACTGCGTTTATGTTTGTATTGTTAGTCTTGAATAAATTATATTGTTTATAAACTTATCTGAAGCCTGCATTTCCTGCGTCAGTCACATACCTCTGGTCACCACCCCGGAGCCCTGACACAGGTATGCTTGTCAGTTTTTCAGGCAGATCTCATTGGACCCTCCATTCACCCCAAGGACCAGTGCATGTAAATATAGACATGTGTCCGTTTACATCCAGGTACCTCCAATCCGATCTGGTCTATTAGAAAAAAGAAAAAAGGGGGGGGGGTTCCATTCCCCTCTGTTTAGGTGGATAGGATCGGAGGCAGTTGAGTGTAAATGGGTCGCAGAGGGTGGCTGGGAATCAGCGGTGGGAAGGCAGAGGATGATACTCTCCAGTTTCTCTGCAGCAGAATGCAGGTGCTGTGATGTGGGCAGTGCTGCTCTCGCCCCCCGGTGTCCTCACTCCCAGTCTTAAGGCTCAGATCTCCGATGGTATTGTCTCCCACTGAAAGGTGATTATCCCAGACAGAGGTGCTCTCTTTCTCTCGCTCCTCAGTGCCGAGATGAAGAACTTCCTGGGCAGTTTAAAAAAAATCATCTCTCCCACTCCTGGCTGCACAGTGCCTTTGGGGTTCTGTAGTGTAAGGAGTGTATTCGGCCCATTATATGGCTGTTATCTCAAACTACAACTCCCAGGATTCTCATCACTCTGCATAGAATCTATTGCTTGCTTGGCATTAGTTCTCCCCCCGGCTGCAGGAGAATGGTGCAGCATAACATCAGTGTCTTAGTAGAGGGAGAGAATAATAAATAAGCAATGTGGGGAACATCCAACTTCTTTTGCAATTACCTTTTGAGGCTTTCCCTCCTTATGAAGGGGTGTCAATGATGGTTTTCTGCACAACTGTCAAGGTCAGCAGTGTTTCCCATGATTGTGATTCCTACCAGGGACGGACCTGATCATGTTGGAAAACTCGGCACTGCTGCCGAGGGCCCGGGGTCAGTAGGGGGCCCCATGAGATGCCCTGGTACCTTTTTCATAGGCTTTTTTAAGTTTGGGCAAGGACACAGGGGCCCCATGATCCCTATTGCCCCAGGGGCCCCATGAGTTGTCAGTCCGCCCTGATTCCTACTATACCAGACTGCGAGACCATTTAAAGGCTCAGGAACCCTTTGCAGGTGTGTTGTGGCTTAATTAGTTGATTATAGTGGGGACACTTTGACAATATTCTAATTTTCTGAGATTGTGGATTTGGGGTTTTCATGAGCTGTAAGCCATAATCATCACCAATTGTGACAAAATCACGGCTTGAACTATCTTGCTTTGCATGTAATGAGTCTATCTCATATATTGGTTTCACCTTTTAAGTTGCATTACTGAAATAAATGAACTTTTGCACAATATTCTAATTTTTCAAGTTTCACCTGTATGTTCTCTTTACTAAGTTGACAATCTGTGTACATGAACTGTTTGAAATTAAAATATTTGAGGCATTTTGAGGTTTATTTTTCATACATGGGCAATGGTAGTTCGTTTAAAAACCTTGGAGCACTAGCTGACTTTTGGTTCCTTACTTTTACAGTTGCTTTCCCCTACCCCTCATAAAACGGGGTGTAACGTGCTCTTGCTTTTGTATTCATGTGAATCCCTAAGTTTATCTGATCTCTAGGTGTTTTTACACCCTAACTTTTGATCACAGCTGTGCAGCATAATAGGTTGGCACATTTTTCAGATCCTTCCTTTGCATATCTATTTTGTCTTTTCATCTATATATCACCATATACCCCCTACTTTTATATCTGTTTCTTGGCCATCCTGACCCACCCTAACTACCCCCATCCAAAAAGGAGCAAATAAAAGGAGCACACAATTCCTTGATAGATGCATATGAGACACAATCACAAGAAATCATAAAAAATTGAAGAAAAAATTGCTAACACGGAGGACAGTGCAAGGAGAAATAATGTAAAATTCAGGGGGATCCCTGAATCAGTCACCCCACCATGAGTTATCCATATAAGTATATGAGGGAGACTACTGAAAAACACTTCTTACCAACTATGTCACCATCTGAGCTCATTAAAGATAGAGCCCATAGATTGCTGAAAACTTAAACAACTGCTAGATACCCGTCCCCAGAGATGTTATCGCCCAGAATACATTTTTTCCATGCCAAGCGCTCATGATAGCTATGAGAAAACCTAAACCCCTTCCGGCTCCATACGAAAGATTTGAGATATTTTCAGGTATATCAGCCTATACTGCACAAAAAAACGTGAAGAATTTAAAAAGCGGCTTACTAAACCATAAAATAAAATACCAATGGGGATACCCCACAAAAATCTTAGCCAATTATCAAGGAAAATTAATCCCAATCTGACTCCAATGACGGGCTAAAAGTCCTGGCATCATGGAACATCTCTGTTCCAGGAGAACCGCAACATTGTACGTAAAGAAAGGCATACCAAAATTTCTTCAGAATGGGATACAAGCTCATCTACTTGAACATTGGTTCCTTTGTTGGTTTTTTTTTTTTTTACTGCCTAACTCCTTCTTTAGCAGGGAAGAGATGGCCCCTACATCTCAGGTATATTACACACTCCATGGAATAATGAGTCTGCTATGCGCACTCATACCGGTTTTAGTTTTATTATTGTTGTCTTCTACTTGTTACTTTTCCACGTTATTACTATGTTTTATTACATTTTCCTTCTCTTGATATGCAATTTAATCCTTCTATTGATGGATATATCTCAGAAACCAGATACCCTCTCGGACGTAGGAGGGGATGATCAGTGCTGTGCTTGGTACGTACAATACATAGACACATCACTAGCCACCTCAGAGAAAATACATAAAACCCAAAATGGTCATCATAACAACCTTTAATGTTAAGGGGACTTAATAACCCTTACAAATGTCATCTCTATGGAGAGAATCCTTAAACATTAGATGTGATATCCTGTGCATACAGGAAACACACTTTAATAAGGCCAACCCACCTACATGCAAACTCTGGAAGTTCACACAATATTTGTTTGCAAACGCTAATAAAAAAAACAAAGGAGTAATGATTGCACAGTAGCCGTACAAAACTCATTAAATTTCTTCAGACCCCACAAGGTAGATATGTTATATTAGTTGCAAATATTGACAATATTTGAATGACATTAGTAAATGTATATGCTCCAAATAAGGGGCATAAAGCCTTTAACTACAACTAGTTAAACTACAAAGAGAAGGAGCTTTAGTCATTTGCAGAGATTTTAATGAGGTAATTATTACACACTTAGACTCCACTAATAAATTACGCAGACAATCCCAAACTCTATCTTCCTTCATAGAACAGAAGATTTTTACAATGCATGGAGATGTCTCCATGGCGGAGAAAAAAGATTATACATACTTCTCTCATTCCCAAAAACTCATATTCACGGATTGATTTACTATTAACAGATAAAAGATCTTTGCAACAAGTATCTAGAATCAAAGTTGGCTCCATCACATGGTCAGACCATGCCCCGCTCACCTCAGAACTCTTTACAACACCATGCTCCAATAACATTTCTGTATGGAGACTAAATTCAGCCCTACTTACAAATCAAGATTATAAATCCCAAATAGACAAGGAACTACTTTCCTACTTCCAAATCAATGATAATAAAGAGGTAGATGATTTTGTTTTATGGAATGCACACAAAGCATACATGAGAGGAATACTAATCAAACTAGGTTCTTACGAAAAAAAAAGGAAAGCTAAAAAAATTACAGATATATTATCAAAAATTAAATCACAAATTTAAACTCATGGAATCACAACACAAACAAAACCCAGAACAAACGACATTATCTCAACTACGCTCCCTATAAAAAGAAACTTAGGCTTCAACTCAATCAAAAATCTAAAATTGCATACCTAAACAACCCATCTAAGAGGAAACTTAAAAATCCACTAGACATAGCCAATGCATTTAGTAGATATTATGCAACATTATATAACAAAAAACTCCCAAGAATGTATCCCCCCTACTAACTCTCAATTCAATACATTTCTGGAATCATTACAACTCCCTAGGATCTCCACAGAACAACTAGATTCACTATCACGACCCTTCACCACCTCTGAAATTAATAAGGTAATTCATAATCTTCCATCTCATTAATCACCGGGACCAGACGGTTTTTAAACCAACGAGTATTATAAAACATTTACTCCAACCCTCATCCAATATCTATATAAATTTGTTCATAAATTTACA